TTTCTTTCCATTGGTCACTAGACACTGATAAAAGAATTTAGATTTATTACTTTTTGAATATAGAAAATAATTCTATAAGTAATAGACTCTATTACATTCTTTAGGGTATGGAATTTATTGTTCCATTTTCTTTCTCTTAATAGAACTCTATAATGCTGTTTGAAATATTAGGGTTTGAGGTATTAAGTGTTTGAAAATCTTGACTCTTCTGCTAAGTATGTTATTTTATGGGGGGAAATTTCTTATATTTAAGACTGTTGATGCAGACATTTCCAAGATGTGTGTGGTTTTGAAAATATAATAATTATATAATGCTTGTCAATTTATTGTATAGGGTTTCTCGGGAAAGTTCTTGCCTTTTATTATAATTTTTTTTTATAAATTCAAAGAGTTATTATAATTTAATTTTGAATAGACTATTTTGTACACTAAACTGTTATATTAATTTGTACATAATAAGACTGATTTGTCATTGTTATATTTTCATAAAAGATTTAAATATTGAGCAATATTTGTCATGTATACTATTGTAACTCTGACAAATTTCTAACTACTCCTTACATAGACTATGTAAAAAGACTTTTCCAGTGGAAGTTTTATGGTTTGGCAAAATATTTAGCAATACTGTATTTCAAGGACAAAATCAAAAATCAGCATCTGACCATTCTTTAAAGAGACAGCTACATAACATATAACTGCTACATGCAATCACATATATAAAATTGTAGAAATGTTGATACATTTGATAGGGAATAACTCCCTATAGCTTACAAATTTGGAATCGCATATTTTTATTTGATAGTAGTGTGAATTACAACAGACAAAATAGAATATATAAATTTTTCAATATGGCTTTCACAAACTTGCCATTGTCATGTAGTAAAAAGAAAAATGCTTAACTGTATCTGTCTTATAAAGAACGTTTAGTCTTGCTGGTCTCTATATTTGTCTTTTTATGTATGTTTATATTTTGAACATACTCTCTTTCTTGCTATCTGTATAATATTGTGAAGTATATTTGATGTATTATTTCGTTTTACCTAATGCAGTGCTGTTAAGACTAGTGTTTCTGTGTTCTTCGATACTGCTAAGGTGCTGGACTCAGCATTCTCTAAACAACGAAACTTAGACCAAATTAGAGGTCACTCTTTAGTCTTTTGAATATTTCTCACCTAAGAAAACTTACCATTTTGGTAGGATCCTTTGTTGTACATTTACCTACTTATCTTCTAGTCCTGTGTGTGTCAGATTTTCTCATAGCCTGTTCTCACCTCATGTGCATTTACTGTATATTGCCAGGAATTATTATTACTTTTGTTCTTATCATTTTATTTCTATTCTCTTTTCAAGGTACCAAGATTAGTGTATGGGATTGTGAAAGTTATAATGATGTATAAAAAGGAAAAAATCTTCGTTTATATCTACTTATCAAAAATGTTAAGGAACTATTGAAATTTTAATAAAAAATTTTAAAAGAAATATTGTGTGAATGAAATACAAGTAATTTATAAAGGATGTATCAAAATATGTAATAATAAAAAAAACTCGGTATTTATCAAAGCTAAAAGAACTAATGAATGATGATTAGAATGTTAGCATTATAAGTTTTATTTTGGGAAGAAATGCAATTCTTTGAGGTCAGATATTTTATTGTATGTTCTGCAATTCCAAAATATTCTTTTGCCATAAGTTAAAAAATAAAATGTGGATATTTCTCAAAAGAGCTCCAATTTATTTTTTTGTTATTCAATACTTAAGAAATCCAAAATTTAAAAAATAACTAGTTTAATAGATAGCTAAGAAATGCCAACAAATTAATGTGATATTTCATAATCAGTTTCAAATATCAAATATAAAGTTTAGTAATCATGTTTTAAATGATACTGGAATGCTGTTTCATTGCAAAATAATAACAGGATGGTACAATTTAACTTAAGAATGGTGATATAAAAGGGTACATTTATTGACAGGGTTTCTTATTCTTGAAATGTTTCTGTGAATTTGTGATATTATTTTCTTTTATATATTAATGTGTTTGTGATCTTTTATGAAATCCTGTCTGTTGGATTTATTATCTTTTTTTTTTTTTTTTTAATTTTTGTGTAAATGTTTTCCTTTTTTTTAAAAAACATTTTTCTCATTTTTAAGTTTTTGCAGTTTTCTACCTTTGTAAGGAGATGAGTATATTATCTCTTATGTAAAATAAAGAAGAAAACTTCTATGCAAATGTATTAGTTTTCGTGTAACTTTCTTCGTCTTTTCCTTTGTCGTTATGTGCTGCCACCATGTAAAAAGTTGTACAAGTTTTGTAAACTTCTATAGCAATAATGACATTTTTGCAAAACAGTTTGTATGTGTGTGTATGTGCAGTTTTTTAAAAAATATATTCATTTGATCATTATTCATTTTGATTATTTTAAACTTACTGTGGTGTCTTTATTGTTTTTTTCTAGTCAGACTGATTCTTTAAATCCATTTTATCAGCAATGTGCATTATATATTTTATTGTACTTAAATGCCTATACTGTGGTATTGAATAAGAAGAGATTATCTAATACTGGTGGCAGCAGTTTATGTTAGTCAAATCTTAAGATATAATACATTTTGTATTTATGTCAAAGAACATTAAAAACTAGTCTAGTCTAAATATAATCTTCATATTTTTCTTGCAAAGTGAAAAATGTACAATTGTTATTTATTAGAAATTTTGTAGACTAATTTGTAAATTTTTAGTTCTTGGTAGTTTTTAGCTCTAATAAAGTTTTTAAACTTCTGTTTCACTTATGTTATTTTTCGATTCCTAATATTAGCTCAATCTCTCCCTATATATATATTGTTACGTAGATCTGAGGGTTCGGGGATTTTATGCAAAACAATCACAAAGAAAATAAACAGTTCAAGAGCGATGCGAATTTATTAACAAAAATCCAATCCTTTAAATACAGGATTCAGCAGCAGTATTAACAGAGTAAATATCGGAAGGTCTTCACACCTTCAACAGCAATCAAACACAATAACCAGTGTTTAAAAATACATGTATGTAAAAGATTATTCACAAGCACAGCCGAGTTAATCGCTAGTCAAAACAATCCTCACTACTTGCTGGTTTAATCCAGACTCATCGCCGCACTGGCGAGCATCTCTATTTATAAGCGCGACAGAAACTTCCAGAAATATTACCGCTCCTGTCATTGAACGTGACACTAGTGGAGAGATCCACTACTTTCTAGAAGATTCCAGAAGGTTCCGAACTCGCCAAAATGATGCCAACTTGGCTCTACCGCCAAGATTTCGCCAAGTTCTCATTGAATCGCCATTATAACGTAAGGGACGGCATTGCTTGCGAATAGTACAATTTTACATGAAATAAATATAACACATAGAGTAATATAAATGCATTAAACACCCAAATACAAATTACAGAAAATTCGTAACAATATATATATATATATATACACACAGTCGGACCTCTATATAACGAAGTCGTTAAATCCTGAAAAAAGGTTCGGTATAAAGAAAATTCATTATATAGAGGTTCATCTTTCAATTGTGGCCGCGGTAGCCGAGTGGTATAGGTATCGGATCGTGCCTTGCCTTGTCACGAGTTCGAGCCCAGTACCACTAAAGACCCGCCGTGTAGGGCAGCGATGCACGTTAAATCTGTCGAGAACTGAAACGTCCTCCCGTTGGTGTGGTGTGGTAGTTAGGAGAGGGGGTGCCAGCTCAGGTGTCGTCCACGTCACTTGACCATGGTTCAAAATTACGTGGTCCGTCGCCAAAAGCCCTCGTGTAGCTGAACAGTGCGACGTTAATATTCCATCAATCATCTCTCAATTTTCTTTATAAACCACATAAAACAAATTTTAAATTCATAAACACTATATATTTAAAAAAGTAATTATGCACACCTTTTGTAAATTAATATATATTTATTTTATATATCTTATACCTATAAAAAAGAAATAAATTTTAAGGAAAGTTTTTTTTGACACCTTTATCCACTTCCTGAAGAATTAATTTTTTTTCTTTGATGCTCAAGCACTTACGTTTTGACATTTTCGAGCTACAAGAAACGAAGTTACCAGTACGACTGATCAATACTACAAATGAACAGAGACTAGTTCAAGGACACGAAACTCCCCTGAGGGTGAAAGGGGACATCGAAGATGCTTCCAGTGAACTGGACAATGGAGGTTAAAGATTGCACTTCTTGGATGAAGCGCCCAGAATTCTATTGCTCGCAGTGAGTTAAGTATCGAATAAAGCCAGTTCATGCTAAATGAGAAATAACTCAATAAAGAGAGAATAACTCAAAATGTCCAGAAATACTTTAAAAATAGGGAGAAAAAAAATTGAATCACAAGTGAAAAAGTTCGTTATATAGAAAATGAACTTCGCTATTGGGAGGTTATTTTACGAAGAAAATCGTGAAATTTTCTTGGTTCCAGGAAAAAGTTCACTATATAGAAAAATTCGCAATATAGAGGTTCGACTGTATATATATATATATAGGCTTATATTCTCTACAAACAAGAGATAACATCCAACAATCACACACATTCGATAGACAGAAGGAAAATCACACAATGAAGGACATATGAAGATTATATAATGGATGTTGCAGTATTATAAACATTGCTGACTTAGGACAGCTAATATATAAAATAATTTATATAAAAGTGGGGTTGAACATGTTTTTTGGCCAGCCAACCTTCTCCCATATAATAATACTGAGCAAAAATTAGATGAGATATATGTATATATATCTTATCTGAGCATAAGATATATATATCTTATTCAAATTTTCAATCGTTAATAAAATACTTTCTATTCATCCATTCCAGTTCAAATACATTTTTTTAAACTTGTAGTTAATGACACTTGATGTTAATACATTTTTTTTTCAAATATTAATTCATTCATTAAATTAAAAAAATGAGTAAATAGAAACAAACAAAAATAACAGTCCAACATATACAGAAAAGAAAGTTGTTGGTTGTGTCCCTGTAGCGCAATGGATAGCGTGTTGGACTTCGAATCCAAAGGGCATGGGTTCCAATCCCACCAAGGATGGCCTAATTTCTGAAAATATGATTTATTTTTTACTCTACTATTTTATTAGAATAATTAAATTTAATTAATGAATAAATAGTAACAAACAAAAATAGTCCAACACCATAAATAGAAAGGAAAATTGCTTTCTATTATATCACTTAATATTGTGATTTTGTCATACGTATATGCATATTTATATTAATTGTAACTATTTAATAAAATTAATTAAAATAAAATTTTCCTTTTTTGACCTAAGTATGAATTGACTTAAATTTTATTTTACATTACTTGTTTCTACTCTCTTAATCTCTTTTTTGATATCAAATTCATCATAAATATTTTTTAAAGCTAATTTACTTTTAAAGTATATGATATATTGATTTAAAGGAAGAAAATAGAATCGTGTGAGTCAACATTTTCTTTTAATTCTGGATAAGAATGTTTTAAGTATAAAATCATTTTTGTCATACTGTCTTTAGTTGAATTTTCAGATATACTCTCTGGGGTTTAAACAAAGCTTTTCTTTGTCACCTGCCATTACTTGTACTTATTTGTCATTGGATTTATACTATAAATGGGCAAAAGTAGAGCTATGGTTCAATTTAAAACCAAATTGTTTTGTTATGCATATTGTTTTTTTTTATATATAAATTTATTAAGTCACTAGCTGGTATACCCGTTCTTCTCACGGGTGAACTGAAAAATTAAACAACACAAATTGAAGGATAAAGAAGTTTTTAATGAGTTAATTTTACGTGAATTGCAAATTAAACAAAAAAAAAGCTTTTTGCATATCTCAGCTGAGCAAAAAGAAAAAAAACAGCTTTGTTAAATTTTAAGTATGTATATCAATTAGAGCAGATAAAAAGGATTTTTTTTTTTAATTTTTTATTTATAACTCCCTGTAACACTCTTGAGGGTTGATTTTTGAAAATACCTCCCTAAGCTGATCTCTGCTCAGCAAAAGTAACACATTGTTAAAAGTTTTGTGTAATGAACGCTTAAAATAGTGTAAATAATTTATATCTGAAAGTGTAAGACATCAATATTATTTTCTGTTGTATTTATTTTATGTTAAAATTGTAATATTCGTAAGCAACGCCGTTTCTTAAATTATAATGGCGATTCAATGAAAAACATAGCGAAATGTTTACTATAGAGTCAAGTTGGCAAATGTCTAGCTACTTTCATAGCTCGAGCTTTGTAAGACCCGCCGCGTGTAGGGAAGCGATGCACGTTAATACTTTATCTACCGCATTATGATTTACTGCAGTTTTTTCATACAATATTTTTTTTTTTTTTTTTTTTGGATCACTACATTGAAAATTAAGGGATATACATAAACAAAATACTCCACTTTGGGAAATTTAAGCCATTAGAGCAAATAAATTAATTAGACATTCCACTGTAAAATTAACTATATACACCGTTCACTTAAAATAAATAGTCAAATCGTTTTCTAAGGTCTTCATTAACATATAACAACACAAGACACTTAAATTTTGACATAAACTATTTTTTCGGGACAAAAATAATAATCTTTAAATTTTGAAAATTCGTCCAAATGATGTAATGCGAAAGAGAAAGTTTATTTACTTTAAGTACCAGAACCGATAAAAGCATTTATTTGGAAAAAAGATCAATTTCTTACTACAAATGTGCATAATAAAATCATAAAAAAAGAAAAAAAACTTTCAAATAAAGAGAGATTTATAACAGCCTCTCCCTTCAAAACTTAGTTTTATTCTGAAATAAAAAAAATTAGGGATTATGCTGATCACAGGAATTAATTAGAAGCGAGCGCCTTGCGTAGTCAAAAAAAAGGGTTTCTTCACAAATAAAAGATAGATATATGCTGACGTGGGCTTTTTTGCAGCGCACGCCAGAATTGCTTGCAGATGGCAGAATTTTTTCTTTCTTACTTGACAAATATCGTTATATTTTGGACACTTCACACAATATCTTTATAAATTATAGCCTATGCTATAAATTATAGCCTATGTGTTATTCTGATGTATAAGCTATATTACTGTAAAGTTTCATTAAAATCCATTCAGTTATTTTTGCGTGGAAGACGGCCAAACATCCTCACAAAGTTTCGCATTTATAATATATATCTAGATATCTAAATATTTTGAATAGAATAATATATGTAATTTAATTTTAGAGTTATTAAATTCCTAATATATTGTACGGATATTTTCTAAAATAAATTTAAAAAAAAAACTTTTACATTTCTTAGAATTAATTATTGTTATAAGTTTGGCATATTTTGAATTACATTTTATATTTTTTTACTAATTATACTAATTTTTATATTAGGTTCATGTTGGGGTATGGAAGTTATGTTTTAGTAATTAATTACAAGTGTTAAAGTAATTTTAATTATGCAAATTGAGATAAAATGTAATGAATAAATTAGATAAACATTACACGAAACATCGTGTAAAACCATGCGAAATATATAATATATTTGTATAGTAAAAAAGGGGGAGTTAAATTTTACGTTCTTTTAAGTCACGTATTATGGAATCATGAAAAAACGTAAGATTTATTTTAATTTAGCAGACTCAATATTTTTTTTAATTACCTACAAATCACTTATCTGAGAAAAAAAAGATTACTGCAACGAAATACATGCTAATTTTGTCACAAGATGGAAGTACATTTTTTCCAGAAATCGCAACAATTATAAAAATCTCTGATGCCTCGAGAACTGTGTTTTTGCTATAAAAAGAATCCATTATATTTTATGCTTCATCTTGTTTATTGTCGAAATAAATTACTAGGTAAGAAATTTAGACATTTTATGATGAATAATAAAATCCTCATATAAAAAAAGTTTTGTAATTTACAGCACTACTGCGCAATGTTGTACTACTGCAACAAACAAAAAAAAATGACTGAAATTCAATTTAAAACAGCTTAATTTATACATATATATGTGGGAATCCAACCGAAATCTTCCAAAAGGTCGGAATGCTTCAGATAGCGGGGTTTTTATTGGCGTGGTGTCTAGGGGTTTTTAGGGCGTATTAGTTAATTTTGAAATAAAATAGACAACACAGTTTAAGAAAGAAACTGGTTGAAAACTAAATAATTTATTATGAATTATAGGGGAGTATTTACATGGGGAATATTTCAAAAGAATAGGAAAGTTAGATCACATTACTTTAAGGAAGGCAATTGAAATTAAATAGAACTCTTTATGGTGCTATTAAGACTTACCGCCTGGCGCTGATGCGCGAAATACGACGTTTCCCTGACGGGTGTTAGTAGGCCTCTCCCGAAAAAGGTTGATGTCGGCATTTTAAAAGGGACGCTAGATGGCGTTGATTTGGAATACTGTTTTGATTAGAATTGCCGACCTCTGGAAAGGGATATGATCTAACCTTTTACAAATGGGATATCCTACAAAATCACCCTCCTCTGACAGAGTTGGTCTCTCAGCTCTTACAGTGTTGAGAGCTAAATTATCTACTAAAAAGAGAGCTAAATTGAAATCAGCTACAACCATAAATTTTTAAATATATGAACGTTTATGCAAATAACCAAATATATATATATATATATATTTCTTATAATAATAAAATATACAGATGAAAAAATGCATACCCGATATTTACAATTCCGGATCTAAAATAAAACAAAAAAATACCAAAATATTCTATATTGCGACCTGCAATTAACTAAATACCAAATCACTCAAAAAAAAAAAACCCTTCGAATAGGTCGAAAGGTAAAGAATAATACGAAAATATAATAATTGTTACAAATGAATATAAGATAATTATTGGAAACGACTTTTACCACATAATAGCAATTAATTTCTCGAAAAGGATATAATATGAGAAAGATTAAATATAATAATTACTATTCAAAATTTAATTTGTATAAAAATATTTCATTAAATCAGCTGAGGTGGAGGTGGAGTTCGGTCCTTCGTGTGATGACCAACCTTTTCCACTTCATATCTATCTCTAGAATTCACTTTAGTTATTTTATAAGGACCTAAGAACTTTGGTCTTAGTTTTAGTCCAGTTCCAAATTGAGTCCTTTGGATGGCTACTAGATCGCCTTCTTTGTATATTGGAGCTATCTTTCTTCTTTTATTGTATGTCTTTCGGTTCTCAGATTGTATGGTTTCGATGTTCTTTTTGGCGTCATTTCTTAGAAATTCACGTTGTTCTTGTAGTTCTTCCGCCATTTCTTTTAGCAGTAGGTCTCTGATTCGAATGTCTTTCTTGTTACGCATTTTGGTTCCTATTAAAAGTTCGAATGGTGTCCATTTTGTGCTTCGACATATAGTGCTGTTTAGTATTCTTTGTAATCTGTCGATGTATTTGTACCATTTCGTTGAGTCGTCTAACGATAGCTTGGTAAGGACTGGAATCAAAGTTCGGTGTATTCGTTCAACTTGTCCGTTTCCTCTAGGAATGCCTGTTGCTATTTGTAGATGTTGAATATTTTCTTCACATAGTACAGTAGCCGTTGAATAATTTTGAAGTGAACGCTGAACCTCTGTCAGTGATAATTCTTACAGGGTTGCCAAAGGTTTTCTGTTGTAGTTTTAACTTTTCCAAGGCATTTTCAGCAGACACAGTTTTAACGGGATATAGCCAAGTAAATTTAGTAAATGCGTCTACTACGGTCAAAACGTGTTGATAACTTTTATTTGTGGAAGGTAAAGGGCCAATGAAGTCAACGTAGTACGTACTTAGAGGGATGTTTACTTTGGAAATAGGATTCAAAAACCCTTCTTTTTTGCCTGTTTTCGTATTAGCCAAGATACATGGGACACAATTAACTATTACT